GATTAATAATAATGAAAATTATGAGCTAGTGAATAATTAATGATTCAAAAAATTAACAATAATTATATTTATAAATTAATTATTAATAATTTTATCATTATTAATAAAAAGGATTACTAAGTAACAAAATTTAATGAATTATATATAAACAAGTAAATAAAAAATTTTCTTCACATAAAAAAGGGTTGTCAAAAAATAAAAGGAACACATGGGTTGAGTTCAACTGTAATAATAATTAATAGTTCAATAGTTATAAACGTTTATTAATAGAAAATAATAATTCATAAAAATATTACAAAGATTTCTATTGTTACTTTGCAAAATTTTAAGGAGTGTTTTTTCCTTTAAAATGACAAATTTTAATGAAAGATTGATAACCAAACTGCTTAGTTCCAGCCTACAAAACTGTGGCGAGTCCAATTATTATTCTTATACATTAATATTTTAATTTTCAGATATTGCTGAATCACAAACATTAAAGAATGCAAGCCAAATAATTATCTATAAGTTAGATGTTTTAATTGTCATGATAGTAATTTATTCAATCAATACTAGCTGAAAAGTTTAATTTATATTTAACAAAATAATTAATTTACATCATAGAAATGTAGTTGAGCAATCAACAGGTACAAAGGCATAATTATTATTAAAATTCTTTTTCTGCCAATTATCATTTTCTGCAAAGCAGGGCTTGAAATTTTTGTACTATTTTAATGAGTTATTATTTTTTATTAACTTTTATAATTATTAATTGAACTATTAATTATTATTATGGTTGAACACTACCCCCTTGTTTCTTTTATTTTTTGACAACCCTACTTTTTCTTACTTAATAGAAAAATTTTTTATTTACTTATTATTTTCCTCCTGCCCCTGCCTCTTGATCTGGCCCTTGGAAGATTGTTGTACTATAGTAAAATGAAATAGAGATTATTAATTGGTATCTATATAAACTGCAGATCATAACTTAAATAATCCTACAATTTTTCCATTCAATTGGCAAAGTTGCCATCTCCAGCTCAATGGATTGCTTGAGCAGCAGGGAGAAGTGGCAGAGGACCTCCAGCTACTGGTGAAGTACCTCCAGCAGCGGTGGAGGACCACCAGGCACTGGTGCCTAACCTCCATCCAGCAGTGGAGGACCTCCAGCCACTGGTGGAGGACCTCCAGCAACTGGTTGAGGACCACCAGCAGTTGGTGCAGGACCCTTAGCCACTGGTGGAAGACCACCAGGAACTGGTGAAGGACGTCCAGCTAATGGAGGCGGCAGAGGAATTGGTGGTAGTGGAGCAGGAGGAGGACCAGCATCACATTATTGTGGTGGCGGGCTACTTGGAGGTGGTACTGGAGGCCCTGCAGCTACTGGTGGTGGCGAAGGTGGAGGAGGAACTCTGTGATGCTCTTGATAATCCATGAACTATAAGAAAATGTAATGATAGCTATTGTGACTTTGTAACTGAACTGATTTGCTGCTTTTTTAGAAAAAGGTTGCAAACTGTTGGGAAGTGTGAGAACTGTGAGGGGAAAAATTGCAAGATTGGCAACTGAAGCTGAATCTAAACTTGAATAGTATCAGAACAGAAAATCGATGTTAGTAATGGCAATAATGATTAATATTTTGAGCTAGGCTATGAATGTAATTAACGACTCAATAATTTTAAAAAAATGTTTTTATAATGTGGTGGTCTTCTTATGGTTCTTATTTCATGGTCTTTTCTTCCAGTAATGAACTGATAGCTAAGGAAAAAATCATAATTATCAATAAATAAAAAAGATTATTAAAATTCAGTAAAAGTATGAAAACAAGTAAATAAAAAAATTTCTATTAAGTAAGAAATAGTAGGGTTGTCTAAAAATGAAAGAAACTGAGGCGTTGAGTTCAACCACAATAATAATTAATAGTTCAGTTAATAATCATAAACATTACTAATAAGAAAATACTTTAGTCATAAAAAATGCAAAAATTTAAACACTATTTGGCAGAGAATGATTATAGGCAGACTACAATGTAAATAGAATTTAAATAATAATCATGCTGTCATACCTATTGATTGCTCTATGTTACTATGATGTAAATTAAGTTTTGTGATAATACAAGTAAGATTTTTCAGTTTATATTAATTGAAAATTACTGTCATCACAATTAAAAAACCTAAATTATAGAGAAAAATTTGGCTATTGATTTCTTTAATGTTTGTGATGCAGTACAATATCAAAAAATTAAAACATTAAAGTATAATATACTTTTTATAAATTTGTAATTGGAGTCATCCAACTTGTGTAGGCTGAAACTAAGCAGTGTTGTTATCATTCTTTCATTAAAATTTGTCATTGTAAAGGCAACCTTACTCCTCCATAAAATTTTGCAAAGTAAGGTTTTAAATTTTTGTATTACTTTTGTAAATCAATTATTTTTTCATTAATTTACTTTAATTATTATTAATTCAACTATTAATTATTATCAAGGTTGAACTCAACCTTGTTCTTTTCTTTTTTCGACAACCCTATTTTTTCTTATTTAATAGATCTTTTTTCATTCATATGAATAAATGTTTGTTTGTATGTCAACACTTACATTTCTTCTATACATGTTGCATTGGAGAAATAATTAATAGCCATTGCAACTATCCACCCACGCTTGACTTACGTAGTAGGTGTGACCATGGTAAACAAAATGGCAGCTTACATGTGGTACAAAGTTTTCAGCTTTCTAAATTTTAACAGCAAGGGAACATGGAGATTCTGTGTACAGAGTTCTCTAGAAGCATTTGAAGGTGAAGAAAACCACTGTGAGTCATAAAAAGTTACCAGCTATGCATGCAAGGTGGTGAAAACAATAATAGGAATATTTTCACACTGTTATGCTTGTTTACTTATCTTACACACAACTCTAAAGTCCATTTGTGTTCACCTGAGCCCTTGTTTTCTTGCTATAACTTTTGACTTACAAGTTCTATTGTAAAAATAAACATACCAGTGCATTCCTCTCCTTTTGCCGCATCTATTGTGATACTCAAGAAGCAGCTTTAGCTCTTTAACTCCAAGTTGGTTGTATAACCCATGCAGAAAGTACAGCCATACTTTTCACAATATTATTGCATTGTGTTAATTATTGGGTGGGGTTTCTAATCACTTCCTGGGCTCAGGTAAATGCAAATGGACTTTAGCTCTGCTTTTGACACTGTTACACTCCATCATGTAGTAGGCTCTACCATAGGACTCTTTTCATAAATAACGAACTTTCCATTTCTTTTCCATTATCACAAATCTTGGAGAACTTCCTTTGGATTTATCCCCAGACAAGTGAATTTTCCTTTTTCTACTTCCTTCTTTTACACCTAATAGCACAACAACAATTAACATTAAAACAACATATAAATACCATAGCACCTACTACATATATGCAGGAGGTACAAGTAAACTATTGCGTATCATTGTAACAGACTTATCTCAATAATATCCTATATCAGAAGTACATCAGAATACACAGAACTCTAATGGTTTCACTTAGGTACAGATACCTAAACATGTTAAAACTCAGCAGCTGTGAAACTATATTTCGCTCTGAGAGTTTTGTAAGATTATAATTTGCTCTACGATAAAAAAGACTACTTTGCTACAATTACTTCAAAATTATTAGCCTATTAGCTGTTAAAAGAACTAATAATAACTTAGTCTGCACACTGCTGAACAAGTATGCAGAGTAAGAGAAGAATGGAGCGAATATTCACCCAATGCAGTCAGTCAGTCACTATGGTCACTCTGAGCATGCACAATAAGTTTCAAAATGGCAAACTAATTTTAAGCTGCCGTGATATCATGCCCAGTTAACTAGTTTATAAGATAAGATGAAGATATATATGGAAAGCACCTCTGTAGTTGGTAGTGTTAATTTACCTTAATAATAAATTCAAAACTTTGCCTTAATAACCTCATGCTCTATACTACTTAAGGAATAACCCAATTGTAATTTTATCAGTCTGCTTAGTCAAACAAAAGCCCCATTTACACTACAAACCAGTTTGGATCAAAGCGGTTCAGAAACCAGCTTAATTGTGTCCACACGTAACTGTGGTTGAATTGTTTTACAATGCTACATTGCATACGTAACACAGCTGCTTCAGTACTTAAACCAGTTTGATTATCTCAAACTACCTCCTTTGGTTGTTTAGATAAGTCGGATTCAAACCGCACAGAAATTATCCACACGTAAACTGATTTATTGGTAAACCCGTTTCAAACCGCTTTAAGGGCATTGTGTAAACGGGGCTTAAGTCTGCTTTGTCAAACTAAGTCTTCTTAGTCTCAGTCTGTTATGCTACGTTTTCGAACACTCATTATCTACAAATTCTCAACTCTTGACCTCCTTTCGCTTAACTATGTCAATAAGTGTGTTAACACATACATTAACAGTTGAGTTTTGTAAATGAATTTATTATTAAACAACTGAACATAGTCCTTCACTCACGCTCCAAGGAATGATGTGAAAGTTAACTTGAGCTGTTGTCTAGTGCAAAAGAATATCCCTGGCATAGAAGATGCTACAAGAAAAAGTCTCAAGAATTTTGCAGAACATTTAATTTGGTACACTACAGTTCACTTTAAAGGTACGCAGAGAATTTTTACTGAAGGAGAGCTCATTTAAGACATTTATGAAGTTGTACAATGTAAAATAGAAGTGTTATAAGCACATGAAAACTATAAGTTTGCCTGCGATTCTGAAAAATCAACCTCAAACCTACATATAGGCTCAGCCTATTATAACAGTGGAGTTACGATGAATTCAAAAGTTGATGTGATTGGTAATAGAGTTTTTTCACTTGTACTAGCCTGTGTTTACATTGCTTGTTTATATTATTTTTGGTAGAAATTTTTTCAAATTTAAAACTGAAATTAGTGAAATCATGCATTATTCACAATAATAATCAATCATATCATGTGATCCTCATTCGCATCTCCTCCTCTCTTCCGTTCAACTGATCAATACTTCAGTAGTTCCAAAATCATAAAACTGAGGATGAGACTAAGAAAAGAGAGAATACAATCAAAATCATAGTTAAGTCCAGATGTATTAAACTATCTACACACTCAACAATATTTGATATCCTTACAATATTACAATTACTATGAATAATAACGAATTGTCTATACCTCTGGCAATAAACCAGGAGAGAGTTCAATATAATCTTATTCAGATTTCAGAGGATCCATAGAGGCAATGGTATTGGTCAAAATATTGATGATCAATGTCCTACTTATGTACATATACATGCATCTATGGTAGTTACTATTGTTTGATTAAATGATCTACACAAAAAAAAAAAGAATTAACAAACCCCAAGAGTGAAATCATAATGAAGCATAGAATGGAAGTTAAGCATAAATATCATCCTTAGCATAAAAAGGTACTCTTTG